TTATATGATTTGGAAAATTGTTATTTGCTACCGGCGGGAAAACTCTTTTTTAATATTTTAATTTTTAAACTAATATTTGGCTTTTTTGACTCTTTTTCGACATAGGTTATTTTAATATTTCTTCTTCGTACCAAGGTTAGTAGTACAATGGTGGTAATTAAAGCTACCCATGTCAGACTGCCAATAGATAACGTTGCTTTCTTGAGGAAATTTATTCGTTTGATGTTAGTTAGGTGTAACTCTTTTAGAGCTCTCAATGAAAGGAATTCGATTCGTTCTTTTTCCCGTGGGGCTCGATTTTGCTAAATATTTGAATGTTAATTTTGATTGTTGAGTTGTAGAATATTACAACATGCGTTCCATTCACTTCTTGAGTTGTCCCATCCGCTTCTATTTTTCAATTGAATTGATTTAGTAGTATTATTCCTGTTTTTGTTTCTTCTATTGTTGGCATGTGATTCCCGTTTGTTAATGTACATGTGGAATTTAAACTATTTACTATTCTACTTATACATTCATCATTACTTAAATCTATTAAATTTGCTTCATTATTTCAGAAAGTGTACTATGGAAAACCTTTCAACTTGTCCGTTGCTAGTGCTACTATAGGTTGTGGTATAAACATTGATAGATATTTGGTCTTTGAGTAAGATTGATTATTATAGAATTAAGGAATTTTTCGTTATCTACTATTACTTGTTTTGGTATTCCGAATGCTATCATTAATTCTCGAATTGGGTTTTTTATATGTTCTATTGACTTAGACTATATACTTTTAACCTGTCCGTATTTGGAAAATTTAGTCTTTTTTCTGTCGAGTAAATGTCGATATGTACGATTTCTCCTGGCAACTGCGGAATGGGAGTGTTTTGTATCTGTGGTTTTGGAAGATGTTTGTCATATTTATGCTCGCGGTATGTTTTTTCGATTTTCGAATGCATGCTTGGAAAGTAAAATTTCTGTAATACAATATTTGTGTTTTATTTTCGCGATTATTTCTATGTGCTCTTGGATGTTTCCTAATAATTATTTCTTCCTGTTCTATTTCTGACACGATATCCTGTAGTAGAAATTGTGTAAATCGAGTTTTGATATTTGCAAAGTGAAGTGGATATATTTCCTGAATTTTTCCCATTAAGCTTTCTGTGTGTATAGTCCGTTGGCTAATGCTGGGTCAAGGTGTCGTTTGAATATGTCTATAATGTCTTGTGTTGAATAGTCTCGTTTGGTATTGTAATTTTGTGTCTGTGAAAACTGGAAAATGGTATTTCGAACGTCACAGAGTAGGATGAATAGCTTGTCTTTGAAGACATTTATTGGTGCTTCTGTAGCAGGGATGAGCCGATGTACGGAACTTTCGTCGCTATGGTCAGTAGTCGTTAGAGTATTAACGTCAGTCTATGGAGGTCTAGATAGCGCGTCTTCTACCATATTTGTCTTTCCTGGTTTGTCCTTCATTTCATAGTTGTACTCTTCAAGGATGCATTTTCATATTTTCATTTTTCCGTTATAGTTTTTATTACTCAATGCAAAGGTTAAGGGTGGGTGATCTGTGAAAATTATTACTTTGGGTGAATCATACAAATAACTTCTGAAACTATTAAGTGCCCATATTATAGCCAGCATTTCTTTTTCATTTGCTGCGTAATTTTCTTCGGCTTTACTTAGTGAACGGGATATGAATGCTATGGGTTTGCCTGATTGTTCTAAAACTGCTCCGAGGGCATAACAGCACAAGATGCATCGGTGGTAAGGTGGAAGTCTTGATTAAAGTCAGGATATGCCAGTATAACTTCTTTTGATACAAGTGAGGATATTTTCGAACATGGGAATTTTTGTAAAGCTTCAACTTTTGAAGTGTGTGTAAAAACACACCATTTGTTAAAATAAATAAGCCTAGAAATTCGACGTCATTTCGGAAGAATTCGTACTTTTCCAGTTGCACTTTCATATTTGCTTCTTTGAGAGTGCGAAATCTTTCGTGCGAGTGCGGCTCTCTTTGTTTTCTCCGAAAACTATTATGTCATCGATATAGCAGATTTTACCTGCAGTGAAGCAATTAAGTTTAGGTACAGAGGCATTTTCTCTAAAAAACCTCTAATTTCTTTATTTAAATTATTAAAAAGTAAATTTTTTGTTTGGTAATTCAAGTAGCGAACATATTTTAATGCATTTATTTCAAAATCAGTAACACTTTTTATAGACACAAAAAAATATAATAACAAAAACATCAAATCCATTAATTTCCCGTCAAAATAGTTTTGATACAAAAACGAGAGTGAGTTAAAAAATTATTTATACCGAAAACATATGATAATTTTAATACTTTGTTGGTCCGCCTTTAGCTTTAATTATTGCTTCCAAACGCCGATGTATGCTTTTTACTAGCACCTGAGTGTCAGACTTTGTAATTTTGGCCCATTCAATCTCTATAGCGGTTTTTAACCTGTATTGTGTTTTCGCACTCTTGGACGCAAATTTTCCTTCAGAATGTTGAGATATATATATATTTGTCCATTTTATCTGTAATAAACTTCAAATTACGCCAGATGCAGCCATACACCCCCAAACCATGATGTTTCCCCCACCATATTTGACTATAGGAATAAAGTTATTTTCTTGCATCTCTGCATTGGCACGCCTCCACGCTTTCATTACTCCGTCCGTTCCTAAAAATATTGAATTTTGATTCGTCGGTGAATACAACATTCTCCCAAAACGAATCTGGCTTATCAAGATACGCTTTAGCAAATTTTAACCGTTTTTTTCTTATTTGCTTTTGATATAAATGGTTTACGTCGCGCAGTTCGTCCGTAATAACCACAGCAGGACATTCCTCACAGTTTGAGGATTTGCACATTTTTGAAATTCAACGTTTAGATTATTCGTAATCTTTACTGCTGAAATACGAGGATTTTGTTAAACTGCAACGATGGCATTGCGTTCTTTTTCGCCGAAAGCGTCTAGTTTTTTTGGGATAACCCACACAGGTGAGTTATATGGAGAACGTGATGGTCTTATGATCCCATCTTTGAGTAAGGTTTGGATTCCTTTAGTGACAAACTCTCTCATGCCAGTAGGATATGGATAATATCTAGTGTATACGGGTGTATTTGAAAATGTTCTGATTTCGCCTACTACCGTGGTAGTGTAGGTCAGTCTTTCATTTGGATCGAAAACTAACTGAGAATATTTATTTGCAAGTTTATGAATATGAAATTTCTGAGAAGGTATCATATGTTCTGTTCTAATGTCAATATTATTTACCGTAGGAGAAAGTTTGTGTTTCTCAATGAGGCATTTGAGGCTATTGTTTCCGATAATACCATCAAAAGATTTCAGTCCTGGTAGAATATAAAATTTTAAATTCGAATTATCTATGTGGACTAGATTAAGTATAGTATGATGGGTAATTTAGATTTTTCCTGCTATGGAATTTGCAAAAAAAGGTTCTTCATTCGAAATGGGTTTTGCTAAAAGCTCTGGTTGTTTGTAGTTTTTGCTTTATTCTGTATCTATAAGTATTTTTAAAAATTTTCCGTTCTTCGTTCTAAATTCTATATATGGCAAGAATTTTTCATCCAAAAAAATTAACATCTATGTAGTCGGGTTGGTTATGTTGGGATTACTCTTGGACTAGTGATCAATCTGTTCATTGCCTAGTATTGTTTCGTATTCTTGTTCGGTTAAATTCAAATTCTGTTCGTCATGTTGGTATTGTTGATCGTATGTGGCTTGTTGGAAGTATGGACCTTCCGTACCGGTTTCTATATGAAAGTTCCTCTGTTGTTCCTCTGAACTAATGATGTCATTTAATACTCTAAGGTACCTACGTCCCTTTTATCCGCGTAATGGAGAGTAAGACATTTTGAAACAGCCTTCCACTCTAAAGGTGTGTTATATGATTCAAGAGCAATGTCTGCGTTGCCCACGATTTTGCTTCCTATAACGTTAAGGATACCATAGTATTTTGGCGATCCTCTTTGAGGCTCGTATATTTCTAGTATTCAGTCTACACTCTTCTTCCATGAATTGAATCCGCCAGGATTCCCGGAAAATTCGCGAAGGCACCTTACCACATCGGTGATTTTGTCTAGTTCGCTAATGTTGTTTGTTAATGTGGGGTCTATGGCGACGTCCGTCCCTGCTCGGGCGCCAGTTAAGTTTTTTATTTATTAAATTGTTTTTTAAAAATAAGCGGACTCGCGTCCGCGGTCTTTATTACTTTGATGTTATTTGAAGACTAAATTCAATTAATTTATTAACTCTGAATGAAACCTAAGTTAACTTAATATCGCTGATGCAATTCTGTCAGCAATTGGTCGGTTTCGTTTCATGTTACTGACCGATGGTGAGAATTGTCTGACCGTGTGAACTGCTGTATTAACTTATACAAACCACTAGTTATAAGTTACGAGTTACTTGTAAAATGATAAACAAAACAGCTAGTTGTAAGAACAGCATTTCACAAATCACTACACTGACAACCCCCTTGACACCACGCTTGGGAACACCAACACACACAGGACATCATAACACTTCACAACTCTACACGACCTAATTTGTACAAAGGGATTGTCTTCGATGGAAAGCGTTTCTTTTCGCATTGGATTTCGTCCGTGAAACCGCATCGCTCACCTTCTGCATTTGTTTTCGACCACCCCCATCATCGGCTTTAGAGCTCGTCATCAATTTGATCTCGTTTACATTGGAGCATTATTTTGAACGAAAAACAAAATACATATACAATTTAATTAAACGATTTTCGAAATCGTATTGGAAAATATGTGTTTTAATTTGAGCAAGAACAGCATTGTGTAAAGAGTTAACAGTAAGTATAATGCAAAACTGTTGAAAAAAAGTAGTTTTAGTTAATAATGACATATTTTGAAATCTTTCTTCAAAAATATGAAAGGTGTTTTTTTCTATACTACTACTTTTACTATACTTATATTATAAACATTTTAATGCAAAAATAAATATTTTATTATTTTCTTATCTTATTTTCCTTTTGCTTATTACACATATTTCAATTTTATTGACATTATTATGATTTGATTTTAAACAGTTTAAATCCAATGGGTTAGCTGCATTGTTCCGTCAATATTTCTCTGAGTATCCATGACGCTCATTTGCCGCACTAAACGTTTTATTGAAGCTCCTTCAGACCGATCGATTGCTATCGGGTATTGATTTGATGATTTGGAGTCACTACTTATTTTGGAGGAAAGGACATGAAGGTTTTCGTACGATTCTTGTTTTGATACTAATTTCCTAAAAAGAAAAATATATAATTTCATTTGTAAAGCAAAATTATTACTTATTTAAATTTTACTTAACTGTGTTGAATAACAACTGAAACATCGCTTTATTGACCAATCCTTTCCGAAACTCTCGCCCTCCTCAAGAGTCTGAGGGAGCCGTTCATGAAGGGTTTCGGGTAATCTTAAACTTGTGAGCCCGCCAATCATTGATATTATCCCCATTATGACGAGAGGAAGTTTTAGATTATCTCTTCCCTACACAGAAAAATATGTAAAAGAAAATTAAATTTGGATAACAATTGCTTGCAGATATACTTTATGTATTGAATTATTGAAAAAGAAAAATATTATTCTAAAAGAAGATGCTTAATTTTTAGTCGGGAGAAAAAAATAAAAAGAAGAGACAGATTTTTAAATATACAATACGCTTACTTCAATTAATGCTCCAACTATTTCTGAAGAAGATATTATGTCCTCACGCTTCCTCAATAATACACTTTGGTGATTTCTAAGATATGTGGATTAAACTTATAATGGGTGAGACCCACGAGACCACGCAAAAATTTTCAAACCACAGATGTCTCTTTCTACTACGACGTACGGGTGGACAGAAAGTCAACCGGAATTCAGCTTATCTCGTCATACTGATCATATAAATATATTACGGCTAGGTGAATAAAATTATAATACACTTTATCAACATGTTGCGAGAGTTAGTGAGCACCGATCAATATTGCGGAATTCACGATTATAAGGATGCACAAGTCTTCAATTCCGGCTGATATTTATAAGCTTGTATCAATGATCAAAACAATGCCAAATGTGTCATTATACATTTCTAATAAATTCGTCTTCTGTTTTTTTTCTTGCTTTTGTTTAAGAAAATATTTGTATATGAAATCTTTACTCTTCTAACCTTATACTTTTTAAAGTGAAACTACTTTGCGCTCGGTGGGCTGTAATTCCAGTATCGAATAAAACGAAAAAGCGACAGGAAAAGAGTGGGGTTGGCGCGCGTGGTGGGGCAGTAGGACAGAAGGCGACATGGGAGAGAAACGAAAACGCGACAGGATCAGAGTAGGAAATTGAAGTGAAACTTCTTTGAGCTCGTTTGGCTGTAATTCCAATATCGATTGAAACGAAAAAGCGACAGGAAAAGGGAGGGGCTGGCGCGCATGGTGGGGCAGTCGGACAGAAGGAGACATGGGAGAGAAACGAAAACGCGACAGATTCGGAGTAGGAAATTGAAGTGTAACTTCTTTGCGCTCGTTGGGCTGTAATTCTAATATCGAATGTACGAAAAACCGACAGGAAAAGAGTGGGGTTGGCGCGCGTGGTGGGGCAGTAGGACAGAAGGAGACATGGGAGAGAAACGAAAGCGCGACAGATTCGGAGAAGGAAATTGAAGTGTAACTTCTTTGCGCTCGTTGGGCTGTAATTCTAATATCGAATGTACGAAAAAACGACAGGAAAAGAGTGGGGTTGTCGCGCGTGGTGGGGCAGTAGGACAGAAGGAGACATGGGAGAGAAACGAAAGCGCGACAGATTCAGAGTAGGAAATTGAAGTGAAACTTCTTTGAGCTCGTTTGGCTGTAATTCCAATATCGATTGAAATGAAAAAGCTACAGGAAAAGGGAGGGGATGGCTCGCAAAGATTTTCGGAGTAGGAAAAAACGAGAGTAGCATCCGTGGAGGGGCATTAGGCACGGTAGGTAACTCCACAATGAAGGTACGTGTACGCACAGAATATCGTACTATTGACCCGAGTATGGCGAGTTCTTATAGGAATTTATATGGGTGTTTAAATGAGATAAGCCACCTCTACATATACACACCACTCTACTCGGGGAAAACGGGCACACCCAAATGAAACACACCACACCGCACTTAACATTTGAGAACACTACACATGATGACACCACCACACTCAACCTCTGAAGACACCAACAAAAAGGACGGGATCATCGCTAAATCAGCATTCGCTTATTAGACAGCTAATACAGCGATCCTACACATTCGCAAAGATTCGCTTATCGTCTACGAGCCTGAGCGCCACCTCACCCCTTTCGTTTTCGTTCCGCCGCGTCGACTTTCAACGATCCAATTTAATTATATTGTCAAACTCTTTTATTTTATAATTAGCTCTTAATAAAATAAGATGGTCGTTTATTAATTATTATAATGTGTTAATATCTCGGTGGTGTTCACCAAAACACTTGTAGTACATACACATTCACCAAAACCTATAAAAACGAAAAAAGAAATTAAAAATAAGTTTATATAACTAAAGTGAAGAAAAAATTGAAGTGGCTAAGCGTTAATATATACATACATATGTATATAACAAGTGACTAAAAAGTGCGGTGCAGTGAACTGACATACATATACACTTAGAAGAAAACAAAAACAAAGTGTTAAATAGAAGAAAGTGTGGAGTGACACAAACATAACGGGCGCAAAAGAAAGCTTCATACGGGCGCGAATAGGAACAAACAACAACAAAACATAATCACCTCAAAAGGACACAATAACAAACACACCAGCGTAAATTAGCACAGCGAAGCAGAAACTGGGAGAGAGCCACAACAGAAAAAGCATCTCACAAGTATACCATACACACATATGGTATACAATATCGTCCCCAAAACCCCTTGGCGGACCCCAAAGTGAGTCGTATCGACTCCTTTTAATATTTGTATATATCCTAATATTATATGTATGTTAAAGTTTATGCTTTTGCGGGTTAATTATTACATAAGCCCGCCTTAATAAAAGCAATAACAAAAAAGAGCGGTTTCCAAACTGTTTCAATATTTCGGTTTATTTTCCGGTAAAAACCGAAATACCGCGAACAGAGAAAATAGTTTGACAAAAAATATATAATCAAATATATTGCCTAACTGCTTACCGTTGTGTTTAAATACACAACATTATCTGTACAACAAAACAATTCAAGTATTTACTTGCATCTATTTCGACAATACCTCTTATACTTTATCAAGTATAAGCAGGATTGCGTAAAATAAGCAAAAGGACAAACATATAACAAAAATTAAAAGACAAAGAAAGGGAAACAAAAAAAATACAAACATACATATTTACTAAATTACATATTTTCATACATATAAGTACATACGGGAATACCTGCACATTATCAATTCTTTTCTCGCGCTCTCTCTGCGTATTGCGAACATACGTACGAACGTTTACATAAAATAATACGGGATAGAATTTGCTTATCTCTTGATACTCTACACTGGGAATAATTACATTAAATTTTAAAATAATTTCTAAAAATATACATATAAAATTCGCAAGTAATTTAACAGCGGTAAAGTAAAAACGAATTCACTGAATCAAAATTATTAAAAACAAAACACAAAAAAAAAAAATTTCCAACAACATACTTACATACATATGTTACATGTATTGATATACACAATTTTACATATATTCCTCATAGGCAATTATCCGGCAATACCCCTTGTTCTTTGGCAAACAAAAACAAGCAGGATTGCATACAAAAAGAAGCGCATTGATCTTTAAAACGAGCTCTCAATTGCAAAAGAACATAACTGCGTACAAACACGTTCATATTAGAGTGTACCTACATTCTTTAACGTAAGGATATAAAAGGTATTAATAATTAAAAGTGCGGTTTCATGAAAAAAAATTTATATGTAATAATAACAATAATAATATTGCATGTAAATACGAAACTGTCTTCATCAACGTTTTAACAATATAATATAAGTAACAAATACTTATTTAATCTTTTATAATAGTAGAAACTGAGTCATCAGATCTACCACAAAATTTTAAAACCTCGGTTTTTGCCAATTATATAAAGTCATCAGATCTACCACAAAATTTTAAAACCTCCGCTTTCGCCAATTATGTAAACTGCTTAGACCAGTCTGAAGCTACAAAAGCTATGATCTCCGGTCAATTAAAGCTAATAAAAGCTGTTGCACCTACTCCACATTCGAGAGTAGAGCTGCCACAAATTCAAAGTCAAGAGGCAAGTTCATGCATCCATCTCGAGGTGCCCGCATGAGACACAGACATATTCAATGGAGGTTATAAAGATTATACGTCCTTCCATGTTTCAGCCGTATACATTAACCATCGAAAATAATCAAAATCGCAAAATTTTTATCACTTCCGATACAAAACTAAAGTTCAAGCAGGCGCAATAGTAAAACAGTTCGCACTAAATAAAGACAATTTCAATTTGGCATGGGAAGCTCTAAAATCCAGATATGAAAACGAGGGAATATTGGTCCATAAACAAGTAACGACACTAATAAACTTGCTTAAAATTCAAAAAGAAAAAGTGAAGAATTTATAAGACTACAATCCACTGTTTCAAATTGTTTGTCGGTTTTGTCGACACAGAATATTCCCAGACAGCGGGTCCCTATACTGGTAAACATATGCACCGCCGCATTACCAGAAAAATCGTTACTTTTATGGGAGAAATCGCTCTCATCACGAAAGAAATGACCTACGTGGCAACAAATGAAAGACTTTCTAACTATCCAGTACGAAAGGGTAGACACAAAAATTATTAAAACCAAAAACTATCGAAATTACCTCAATAGAAGCTTAGTGAACGAAATAATTTTGTCAATTGTTTCTATTGTCATCAAAGACACCACTCAATGCTTCATTACAGCACATATCCCAGCCTCAAACCTCAAAGCAGCGCTTATAAGAAAAAAACCACGGGTTTAGTTGCAACAGCAAATCCCGAAGTGCGAAATCCCGAAAATTGCCAAGAAGCACCATGTTGTTCAAACGCTTTAAAAACACAAGGGTATTACTAGCCACAGTAGTCATCTCCATCGAAGATCGCGGACAACTCTACAAACATAGAGCCCTAGTAGACCAAGGATCACAACGAACCTTCATAGCGTCTAGGGTCCAAAATAGGCTAAACTTTCCATCAAAACAATAGAATTTTATAATTACGGAAATGGGCGGAAGAGTAGTCCAAAACTCAAAAACAATCTACCCCATTACCCTAATTTCCCCCCAAGCGGAAAGGCACGTCAAAGCAGAAGTTATAGTTTTACCGCAACTTACAAATAAGCTTCTAAGCTATCATACAAATAGCAAGCATTGACAAAAGGTTTCAAACCAGAAGCTAGCAGATTCCAACTGCAATATAATAGTAGGCAGCGACCTTATACCGCAAATAATGCTTGAAGGTGTTGAAAATATTTCAACGACCCTTCTAGCCCAAAATACTA